CTTAGCATTGCTATTGCTGCTGTCTCTGCTCTACTATCGCTGCTGTTGCTGCTGTTACCGCTTCTAACCATTGAAAACGGGGAAACGCAAAAACTAGCAGCTTCGTCAGAGCTTCGAACAAGTATCTTCGATATACAACGGGTGTCGTTTTTTGATTTCTAAATCGTAAAATGAAAATTGCTGTTAAAGCATTATATGCTATATATTTATTTTTTATTTTGTGAAAAGAAGATTTTCTTTTAGTTTTCATTTTCTTTACTTCATCATATGTTTTGGATAATTTTTTTCTTGTTGGTATATTTTATAGTAAATATATAAATGTATATATAAATATAGATGTATATGAAGAATGTAAAACAGTTTTAATATATTTCACTTAGAATGTTCCTATTTAAGTTTCAAAAACATAGGAATATTTATATCTCTTATTATCTAGTTATTAGTTATGTCTATGATGTTTGGAATCGATACCAAATTTTTTTCATAGATTGAATTCTAGGAAAAGTTCTTTGAGTGCGAAAAAATGTTGACATTAAGATGTAAAATGAAAATGTGTTTATAATTAGAGAACTTAAAAATAAAAAAGAAAATGGAAAGAAATGGAAAGAAGTGGAAAATTATAAATCAATTTCATAACAAAGTTTTATTATATACATAATTAGAAAATCGAAAAAATAAAAGAAATTACATATATAAATATATTTAAACTTAAATATATTATCTCTATATTATATATTTTTATGTAACTATTTTAATATTTAATTTTAAAACATGAATTTTTTTGAAAAAAATCATAAAATTTTAGTAATATCGATACTATCGATCTTTTCAATATCTGTTTATATTTCAAAAATATTTATCATTTTTTTTTCTTAGTAATTAAATCAAATTATAAAGCATTTAGTACGATATTTTTAAAAAATATTCTTCTGGCTGATATGATACTAGTTATTCTACTTATCTAACGAATCCATACAAGCTACTTTTGTTTCCAAAAATTAAAAATATAAATCTTCTTCTAAATATATATATCATCTTAAAACTATGAATAAATCAAAAAATTATTATTACTATTTTAAAAGAAGTAATGTTAATATATATATAGAATATTAATATATTCAAGGAATACTATTGGAAAGTTGCTAAATTAAATATAAAAATTAGTTTATACAAATGTCAATTGAATATTATTTATTAGATTATAAACGTTTGAAGTTTATGTTAAATAATAAACAACTGTTTCATTCTATATTCATCACATCATTATTTCATACTGTTTCTCTTTGTTTAATGCAAATTTCAATTACTCATAACTTAATAAATGAATTTCAACTGACATTTTTATATATCAATTTTTATATTTATTATTTAATTAATAATAATCGAATTGAATTTATTTTGTTAAACTTTTTTTATTTTAATTTATTTTAATTTATTTTAATTTATTTTAATTTACATGAAAATAGTTTATATGGAGAAAAATAAATCATAAAATTTCATATAATTTTTTAAAAAACTAGAAAAATAATTATTACTATTAAATCAAAATTTATTAAGATTTTAGTTCTGTATTATAGTCAAATTAATATTTATCTTTTGAAAATCTTCATTAATATCTACATATCGTGAATTGTGAAATCATTGATATAATCATTGATTTTTATAAGAAATATTTTTAATAAATAGAAGATATGCCATAAATTTCCAGCAAATTTATGAAAATAGATTGAAAAATATAAATATTTAAAAATATATAAACATAATATTTTATTAAAATAAAATTAAAATTCTAGAAATATAAATTATTTATTTATTCAAAAAATATATTAGAAACAAATTATATATTAGAAACAAATATTTTTTAATAAATTATCGTGAAATGCAATAAACCACATTAATTCCGACTAAAAATAAAAAAAGAAACGAAAAAAAAATGTCTCTCCTATATTTGAGAAACAGATAAATGATGCTCTATTTATTCGATGAAATAATTTTTAAATTAAAAGAATTAAACTATTAAATTATTATTATATCAATTTTATTATAATCCATAATAGATTTCGAGAAAATATAGCTTATAACATTTTATACAACCATTCAATTCAAAACATGTGAATCACATATACATATATTTAATTCTCTTAGTTCAAAATACATTATTTTCTCCATAATTTTTTTAATTACAATAAATATATATATATATATTTTACATATTCAATTCAATACAACACGTTAATCTTGTTATTCTTTTCATGCTAAACAATTGCGATTCCGAAAATGTTAAAGTTTTGAGATGTCAAAAGTTTCTTTTCTCTTCAAAATTGGTTCGATTTCATCAGACAAAAGGATATTCGATAAAGAATATCAGGGTTAACTGCGTCAGAAATTGCGTGCCACTCACAAGCAGAGGAGAGTAGCAGTAGCAATGGAGGGTAACAGCAGCTAGAAACGACGAGGAGGAGAGGTTGAAACTGTGATGCCTGCAAAAAGCACGGCAGACAGCGCCGATCGTTTTTGCTTGGCGTCAGCCGCGTTCCTACCGCCGCGCCACATCGTACTTCGTGGTGGTACATCGTTCCTTCTACTCCCTTCTCCTTCTCACTTTCTGACTCGCTTCTGCGTCCTTCTCTTTTCTCTGCGCATTCTTTCTCTTTCCTCATATCAAGTTCTATCTCTTTCTCTGTTTTGCGCGCGCATACTCTTCCATCTTTCTCTTTGTATATTCTGTGTCCACTTCGAGAAATTATATAAACAGATAAAATTACTTTCATGATTATGTATCCAGAATACTAAATAATATTGTTATGTTAAAGGAAATATAATACACTATAAACATTTACATACACTATAAACTACAATATAAACATTTTTCTTTATCTTATACCACGATAATAAATAATGTAATGGAATTAAAATTTTATTCTTTAATATTTCTAAATTCAATTCAAACAAATCATATTTTAAAAAATGTGATTTTGTCCTCTCCTTATATAAATATGAATTAAATTTTTATCTTCTTTTTTTATTCATTTTTTTTTTATTATTTATTTTTTATTTAAAATGATTTATTTCTTTTGCAGAAAGGAGTATGAAATAATATATAAACGTATTTCAATATTTCTAAGAAAGAAATTAATATATTTTTAAATTTTTTCAAATAAATGTTATTTAAAAACATTATTCAAAAACATATTAAAATATCCATTTTATTTTTGCTCTTAGTATTATATTATACTTCTTTATATTATACTTTTTTAAATATAATAACTACATATATGTAAAAGTAAAAATTAATAATGTTTCTAATTATAACTGTATTATATAAATTCGTTTAATTAATTCAATTATTTATTATATCGAAAAGAAACGAAAAACAAGAAATTTCTTATATTCTAACAAATATAGTAAAAAAAAATGAAAAGAAAAGAATGTTGTATTCTAATAATAAATCGAATAAATAAATTGAGTACTAAATGTATACAATATATTTATATAATGAATAAATATATTCTAAACATTATAAATAAAAAATATAAAATTATAAAGTTCATTTTATTACTCAAGACTTTTTATTCTTATTCTTTTATTTCAAGATTTAAATAAAACTTAAGTAAGAATTAGTATTAATAATATAATCATAATAGTATAATAAAATATAATAAAATATAATAAATTTATATTTTATTATAATAAATATAATGAAATTAAAAAAATCAGTAGTAATAATATATTTTAAGTAAATTTTAATTAGTGTATGAATTTATTATTTTCTTAATTAAAAAAATCATTATCTTCCCCTTTTCTTGTTATTGGATAAAAATTTGTGACTTTTAAATCAATTTATCTTTATTTCATTAACATTGCAAATATTTCTGTTCTTAATATTTGAAATTAATTTTTTTTCATTTTAACAAGACTTTCAACATATTCAATATACATTATTAATTTCACTCAAATTTAACTCAAAAAATAAAAAATTGATCAGTCAAATTTACGCAGATATATTTTTCAAATGAAAAAATAATTTGAAAAGAAAGAATAAAATTTTTTCATTTGAGACTGTTTTCAATTAAGCGTAAAATTTTCGATTGAATAATACAAATAAACTATTGACTATAAATTATTTCCATATGAAAATATAAGTAAAAAATATTTTTAAAATAAGTCTTAAGTCTTAGTTTTTGAGAAAAAATAAATATATATATAGTTAACTAATCAATGAATTTTCAAATATTCTCAGAAACTAATTTTTAAATAAAAAAAATTTATTCATATTTTACTCATTTTCACATATAGTATTATTTCTTTTGATTATTCATTTTTTTATAAAAAATAAATGATTATTCTCTATCTGATTATATCATGAATATATCATAATATAATAAATTATATCATAATAAAACTTAATTAAAAGATTTTGAAATTTTTATATACTTTTTTTGCATTAAATTTTTTGCTTATATACTTTTAATATAAAAAACAAATAATAATAAATTGAAAAAATCTATTATCTATTATCTAAGTTTAAAATTTTTAAATTTAAAAATTTTAAATTTATCAAATTTTTTAATACAATTTTTAAATATTATTAAAATTATCATATTTGATAATAATATCAAATATTATTACATTTTTCGTTTATAATTTTTAATCACTTTAAAATAAAATTTATAACAATAATTATCTATAATTATAAATTAAATATAAATTACATAGTTTATCCATATTTTAAATTATGTTACAAATATAATTTATTTTTATTAAATCAAAATCATAATCTATAATAAGTATTTCAATATATAAGAAATATTTTATTATTATTTTAAAATATTGTAACAAATAATAAAAAATTTTTAATGTATTCAAAAATATTTCATATAATGTTTTTTTTAATAGTTCCGAAATACTATTTAATTTTAATAATTTATTAAAAACAATTTCTCTTTTATTGAATTTATTATTCTTTTATCTAATTAGCAGAAAATTTTTTTATATTTCAGTAAACAAGCTGTATTTGATGGAAAGAAAGCTATTAGAGGAGGCATTCCTTTCGTTTTTCGTAAGTATATAAAACGAAATGGAATAATTTATTAAAATAATCACTTCTAAATGTGAAAAAAAATGTAAGTTAAATAATAAATAAATAAAGTTAAAATGTTACATATGTCTTTCAATTTAATTCAGCACAATTTGGAGCATGGACATTTGGACCGCCTCATGGTTTCGCGAGAATCGTTCGTTGGAATGTGGAAAAATCTCCTGAACGTTTACCAAGTGGTGATGTCGAGGCAATTTTCTCTATTATGGACAGTGAATTCACTCGTTCTATGTGGAATTATCCATTTAAATTAACGTATAGATTAATTCTTCGGGAGAAGGAATTACATTTCAATATTGGCGTATACAATCCTAGTAAAGATCATACTTTTAGTTTTAATTTGTTATTACATACATACTTCAAAGTGCCAGATGTTAGAAGATGCCAGATTACTGGTCTTCATGGATGCACATTTATCGACAAGGTATTATTATCATAATCATATCAAATTGATTGTACATCTTTTAAATAAAAAATAAGTTTCTGTTAATAAATATTTACTAAAGAAAATTTTTCTTTATAGACAAGAGATAACCAAATTTTTCAAGAAGGTCGCGATGTAGTAACTGTATGTGAATGGACAGATAGAATTTATCAAAATACACAACCAGAGCACATTATTACCAATGTTGTATCTGGTAGAAAAATGCGAGTACAAAAATACAATTTTCCTGATACAGTGGTTTGGAATCCGTGGCAGGAAAAAGCTCGTGATATACCAGATTTTGGAGATGACGAATTTCCAAATATGATATGCGTAGAAAGTGGACACGTTAGCAGTCCAGTGATCCTACTCCCTGGAACAGCTTTCGAAGCCAGTCAAATCTTACAGGTATTCTATAATATAAATATATATTTTTACATATTTAAATATATGTGTGATAAAATTATAATATAAAAATTTAATGCATTAATATTTAAGAACATATTTTAAAAATCCTTAATTAGATAGAACTTTCAAAAAATCTTTAGTGTATATAGTTCGTCATTATCTACAAAAAAAAGCTATATAATACTGCATTATACACCATACTCTGTTAGCCAATATAATAACAAATGTTTCCTATCATTTCATATTATGACTCGTTATTTTGACTTATTTTGATAAAATGATCTATTTCAAAATAATGCGTTATCTATTGAACAAACTTGGACATCTTTGTATACCGAGATACGTTACTTGTATCATGAAATGCAAACATAACCTTATCTATCTCTTGATTATCATCTGAAATAGAATAAATCAATGGTGAAGAGTTATGTTGGTAACATGTAAGTTACGTAATAAATGTAGTTTAAAATACTTAATTAAGAAACGATTAATTCAAAAAATATTTATTTTAATAATTATAAACTAATATTTATTTAGTTTCTAAAATCGATTTCTTCTATAAATAAGATCGATTCTAAATTCTAGATAAACAAACAAAAACACATCCATAAAATTTTAAATTAAAATTTTAAATTTTTATACATAATAAAAATTAATGTACAATTAAAACTTATTTAATTATATTAATTTATAATCAATTTAAGATTAGATTAAATAAAATACATGCTCATTAAATACATTAAATAAAATATATCATCGTCTCTTTTGATCTAATGAAAAACTTAATAAGTAATATCCAATAAACAATTTTTGTGTATAATATTAATATTTTCTTAATAAAAAATTCTAAATAAATAAAAAAATATAATATTTTTCTTTTTATATTTGCTTTATTTATAAATTAATTAATAATATTAGAGATCAAAATAAAACAATAACATAATCAAATTTGTCATAATAATTACTTCAAATTAACATTAAATGTTAATAATTTTAAACAATTAATAATTTTGATATAAAATTTTAAAAAATTAAAAAGTGGCACTTAACATTGAACATGACAAAAATTTTTAACATAAATCGAAATAATTTTAATATAATTTATAATAATTGCAAATATAGTCAAAAACTCGAGAATATCCATAAATTTCGTAAGTCCATTTTTAGCAACTTCCATTGTTTTCTTGTTAGCCTATTATTTCATTTAATGGAATGAACTATAAATATATATTATAGTTATATGTATAATATATAACTATATATTAAAAATAATAAGAAATTTCATGGATTTCGTAAATTTTAAAAATATTATAATAGTCTAAACATTAATGCAAATAAGGACAAGAAATTTATATCAATAATGTTGTGTTCGGGATTAAAGAAGAATGAACCTATTAAAAGGGTTTTATGAAAATCAATTATAAACATATAAATAAGTTATAAAATATAAAAATAATTAAAAAGAATAAAGATATAATAACATAATTCATGTTTTTTGACCATAAAAATTAATGGATACGATAGATAATTCATACGATACATAAATTTTTTGGTAAGCGCAACAATTAATTGATTTTCTTAGCTATACAAGTGCGATTAAAATATCGATAAAAAACCGATGTTTATTTTGTCTATTTTACAATTTATGCAAAAAAGAACTTGATAGTATTTTAATCAGAAATATAGCTAATGTCCAGCATTAGATGCCATTCTGTTTTAAAAACTCTTCTAATTTTTATGTTTTGAGAATAAAAATGATTTTAGTTTTCAAATGATTATTGAATCATTCATGAATCGTTCATAGAAATATTAATGGATATCATTTTGAATTTATTAAAATAAATTATAAAAATAAATAAATAAAAAATAATAAATTTTTTTTAATTTTACTATTTGCATTAATTATTAAATTTGAATGAATTTTTTGTATTCAATATCATGAAGATTATAATATTATAAGTCGCGTT